TAAGTTGTGTGTGTGTGCAAGTTGTGCGTGTGAGTAAGTTGGGTGTGGTGTGGGTTGCAGGTGTGTGTAAGTTCTGAGTGTGTGTGTTGTAATTTGTGTGCGAGTAAGTTGTGGTGTGTGTAAAGTGCGTGGGTGTGTGAGTAGTTGTGTGTGGTGTGCAGTGTGCGTGGGAAGTGTGGTGTGTGGCAAGTTGTGTGTGCAAGTTGTGTGTAAGTTGTGTGTGGTTGTAAGTTGTGTGTGTGTGTAAGTATGTGTGTGTGAGTAAGTTGTTGTGTGGGTGAAAGGTTGTGCAGTTGAGGAAGTTGTGTGTGTGCAACGTTGTGTGTGCAAGTGGTGTAAGTTGTGTGTGTGTGGTAAGTGTGTGTGAGTAAGTTGGGTGTGTGTAAGTTGTGTTGGTGTGTGAGTAAGTTGTGTGTGTTGGTGTGTGGCAAGTTGTGCGTGAGTAAGTTGTGTGTGTGCAAGTTGTGTGTGCAAGTTGTGTGTAAGTTGTGTGTGTGTAAGTTGTGTGTGAGTAAGTTGTGTGTGTGTGTAAGTTGTGTGTGTGAGTAAGTTGTGTGTGTGTGTGTGCAAGTTGTGCGTGAGTAAGTTGTGTGTAAGTTGTGTGTGTGTAAGTTGTGTGTGTGTGTAAGTTGTGTGTGAGTAAGTTGTGTGTGTGTGTAAGTTGTATGTGTGAGTAAGTTGTGTGTGTGTGTGTGCAAGTTGTGCGTGAGAAAGTTGTGTGTGTGCAAGTTGTGTGTAAGTTGTGTGTGTGCGAAAGTTGTGTGTGAGTAAGTTGTGTGTGTGTGAGTAAGTGTGAGTAAGTGTGGGGGTGAAAGGGGTGGTGTGCAAGGAGTTGTGTGTGTGTGTGAAAGTTGTTGCGTGGGTTAAGTTTGTGTGTGTGTGCAAGTTGTGTGTGTGTGTAAGTTGTGTGTGTGTGTGAGTAAGTTGTGTGTGTGTGAGTAAGTTGTGTGTGTGTGTGCAAGTTGTGTGTGTGTAAGTTGTTCGTGTGTGAGTAAGTTGTGTGTGTGTGCAAGTTGTGCGTGAGTAAGTTGTGTGTGTGCAAGATGTGTGTGTGTGTAAGTTGTGTGTGTGAGTAAGTTGTGTGTGTGCAAGTTGTGTGTGTGTGTAAGTTGTGTGTGTGAGTAAGTTGTGTGTGTGTGCAAGTTGTGTGTGTGTGTGAGTAAGTTGTGTGTGTGAGTAAGTTGTGTGTGTGAGTAAGTTGTGTGTGTGCAAGTTGTGTGTGTGTGTGTAAGTTGTGTGTGTGAGTAAGTGTGTGTGTGTGAGTAAGTTGTGTGTGTGTGTGAGTAAGTTGTGTGTGTGTAAGTTGTGTGTGTGTGTGTGCAAGTTGTGCGTGAGTAAGTTGTGTGTGTGTGTGCAAGTTGTGTGTGTGTGTGTAAGTTGTGTGTGTGAGTAAGTTGTGTGTGTGAGTAAGTTGTGTGTGTGTGCAAGTTGTGCGTGAGTAAGTTGTGTGTGTGCAAGTTGTGTGTGTGTGTGTAAGTTGTGTGTGTGTGTAAGTTGTGTGTGTGAGTAAGTTGTGTGTGTGAGTAAGTTGTGTGTGTGAGTAAGTTGTGTGTGTGAGTAAGTTGTGTGTGTGTGTGTGTAACATCTGAATAGATGTAAAACTTCTCTCTCTTTTTCTTCCTTTGTCGTCTCCCTTTCTAATTCTAAATTCAATGCAGGGGGCCACCGGGGTCCCGGGGGGGTCGGTGGCCACCGAAGACACCCCCCCGGGACCCGTGCAAACGTACCTGCATTATTCGTAGGATGCATCGTTAATTTCATTGTTTCGTATCTAATCTGCATGTTTCAGGATTCAGTTCCTGCCGGATCATATAATGATCCATTCTTGTCTAGTGTGATTTCCATGGTGGCTCCGACATGGTGCCATGGAGCCATTTGAGGCAACCCTCTTTAGGGTGAGTGACGACTGTCCTGACTGCCGAATTATCACATTTTAATTTAGTAATTCGTCTAAGTAAATCACAACAGTTGGCCTTTCCGTTTTGCACCTTTTTTGTGAAGTCCCGCGTTTCCGGCTGTCCTTTATGAACCCAGTGGAATGCATCTCTATTGAGTGAAGCCACTTCGAACTACCAGAAACCTCCGTTTTTGCAGCAACCTTTGCAGCTACATGACATCATTTCAAGACATTGTGAAAAGGCAGGCACACGTCTTTCAGGTGTGGTCTTTTTCCTTTTGGTTGTCTGGTGAGGTGAAACATATTGTGCACCTAATTCGTTGGAACTTGAAAGCCGTCTTATGCCCTTGGGGCTGACTGGACTACGGGCCTGGATTGGCACAACGCACGACCTGTAGGTTTAGGAGCTGAATCCTGTCTTTAATTAATTGTTTTGGTTTTCTTGCCTGTCATTAACTAGTCCCCCATTTGGTCCCTAATTTTCCCCGCGTGCCTCTCCGTAATGTGTCGTGGGGTTTAGGTGTGTGCGCTGTTTTTGGTCAGGTCCGTTTTGCCGTGTAGGTTGGTTCCGGAGGTCCGTCTGTTCCCCTCCCCCCCCTGCGCTGTTTTTGGCCGTCTGCCCGTCGTGTGTCCGCTTTTTTCTTCCTCTTGCCTTTCAGGGTTGACCCGGCTCCGGCCGGGTGTGTGTGTGTAACATCTGAATAGATGTAAAACTTCTCTCTCTTTTTCTTCCTTTGTCCTCTCCCTTTCTAATTCTAAATTCAATGCAGGGGGCCACCGGGGTCCCGGGGGGGTCGGTGGCCACCGAAGACCCCCCCCCGGGACCCGTGTAAACGTACCTGCATTATTCGTAGGATGCATCGTTAATTTCATTGTTTCGTATCTAATCTGCATGTTTCAGGATTCAGTTCCTGCCGGATCATATAATGATCCATTCTTGTCTAGTGTGTGTGCAAGTTGTGTGTGTAAGTTGTGTGTGAGTAAGTTGTGTGTGTGTGTGCAAGTTGTGCGTGAGTAAGTTGTGTGTGTGTGTGCAAGTTGTGTGTGTGTAAGTTGTGTGTGTGAGTAAGTTGTGTGTGTGTGCAAGTTGTGCGTGAGTAAGTTGTGTGTGTGTGTAAGTTGTGTGTGTGAGTAAGTTGTGTGTGTTTGCAAGTTGTGCGTGAGTAAGTTGTGTGTGTGCAAGTTGTGTGTGTGTGTAAGTTGTGTGTGTGAGTAAGTTGTGTGTGTGTGCAAGTTGTGCGTGGGTAAGTTGTGTGTATGCAAGTTGTGTGTGTGTAAGTTGTGTGTGTGAGTAAGTTGTGTGTGTGTGCAAGATGTGCGTGAGTAAGTTGTGTGTGTGTGTAAGTTGTGTGTGTGAGTGAGTTGTGTGTGTGTGTGCAAGTTGTGCGTGAGTAAGTTGTGTGTGTGCAAGTTGTGTGTGTGTGTAAGTTGTGTGTGTGAGTAAGTTGTGTGTGTGCAAGTTGTGTGTGTAAGTTGTGTGTGTGAGTAAGTTGTGTGTGTGTGTGCAAGTTGTGCGTGAGTAAGTTGTGTGTGTGCAAGTTGTGTGTGCGTGTGTGTAAGTTGTGTGTGTGAGTAAGTTGTGTGTGTGCAAGTTGTGTGTGTGTAAGTTGTGTGTGTGAGTAAGTTGTGTGTGCAAGTTGTGCGTGAGTAAGTTGTGTGTGAGTAAGTTGTGTGTGTGTAAGTTGTGTGTGTGAGTAAGTGTGTGTGTGTGAGTAAGTTGTGTGTGTGTGAGTAAGTTGTGTGTGTGCAAGTTGTGTGTGTGTAAGTTGTGTGTGTGAGTAAGTTGTGTGTGTGTGCAAGTTGTGCGTGAGTAAGTTGTGTGTGTGTGTGCAAGTTGTGTGTGTGTAAGTTGTGTGTGTGTGAGTAAGTTGTGTGTGTGTGTGCAAGTTGTGCGTGAGTAAGTTGTGTGTGTGTGATGAAGTTGTGTGTGTGTGAGTAAGTTGTGCGTGTGTGCAAGTTGTGCGTGAGTAAGTTGTGTGTGTGTGCGTAAGTTGTGTGTGT